ATGACCTAGTTTGTGTCGAGTGGACGTTAAACCCAACCTCTCTCTCTCTGATTAGCAGTGAATAATTCGTTTGGTCGCTACAAACGCTGTATTCACTTTTTTCCTATTACAAATTAAATTCTAGAATAAATAAAGGCGTTTGAAGTGTTTGTAGGTAAACAATATTTCCTATTTAGTCCAATCTGATTATAATACAGATCTATATTTTGTTTTGTTTTTTTATACTTTCGATGGCCTACACTACATAAAGATCTGACAAGTTGTACTGTAAGGTCGTGTCAAGGGTCGTACAAGCGGTTTTTTTACCCTATGACGTCAGACATTGATTAATCAATCAGCGTTGATGTTTCTAGTGGTTTACCCACAGTCCCGTGCATGACACACCAAGAAGACGCCGTAACAGACTGTTTCATTGGCTAATCCCTCACTTCAGCCAAAACGCCGGTAATATAACAACTCTTCCAGATCCTAGTGTAGTAAAGACAAGTAAAACAAAATTTTGAACTAAACAAAAAAAAGAACGAAACAAAATAGGATCTGTGTTTTAAACAGATTGTATTTAGTCTAATGGGTATGTAAAAGTCACCATTCTGCCTGGACCAGTAACGTCTTAAGTAAACAATGCACACATCATTGAGCCAATGATTGACGCAGCATGAAAGCAGTTATCTTTTACAGAGTTATTAGAAATGAAATGATATGAAATGGGGTTTAACGTCCTACTGTTCTACTCCTAAACTGGTCTAATGAAGACGGTAATTTATTTAATGTCATGAATAATTATTTCTAGAAATGCAATGAAATGAAATGAAATGGGGTTTAACATCCTACTGTTCTACACCTAAACTGGGCTAATGAATATGGGCATACGCCGAACAGTGTGCTAGGAGGGAAATTTTGCCAGGACAGCGGCACTACGGCCTACTTTTATAGCAAATTCCAACTGTCAAGTGATCTTTTACGTGCACGCCAATGTGTACACAGGACCTCAGTTTTTCTTCTCATCCGAAGGACTAGACAGCTGTCCTTGTCAGGCCCTCCTTCCGGCATTACTGACAAGGGGGAACTAAGAGTTATTAGAAGACTTATGTAATACCTCTGTAAAACGGATTGGGACTCTGTCATCAGAATATTTGTTTTAGTAAATGAAATGAAATGAAATGGGGTTTAACGTCCTACTGTTCTCCTCCTATACTGGGCTAACGAAAACGGGCATACGCCATACAGTGTGCTATGAGGGAAATTTTGCCGGGGCAGCAGCACTATCGCCTTCTCGTATATCGGTTTTTCGTATCATCCAAAGGACTACACAGCTGTCCCTGTCAGGCCCTCCGTTCTGCACCACTGACAAGGAGAAACCACGTCGTTGTTTTAGTAAAGGATACATGTGATAAAGAACGACGTTAAAATAAAACTCATGATAAACTGGATCAAACTGATTTTACGATTATATGGACATTCTTCTACTTGTTTCAGTTTCCATGACAACACAGACTGTAACCAACAATATATAGTTCCACACAGGAACGCCAGACCAGCACCTATATAATGTCCAGGTCTCATCACAACTGTCTGAAAAATAAATTAAAAAAATAAATCTGAATACATTAAAAAAAAATAGGTTGCCTGTCAATAAAACAGATGCCAAGAGCAATGAAAATGAAATAAAATGGGGTTTAATGTCCTATTGTTCTGCTCCGACTGGGCTAATGAAAACAGGCATACACCATACAAGGTGCTATAGGAAAATTTTGCCCGGACAGCAACAGGCATCGATATTTCCGCACACATGCGCAGGCAGATTTGCTTTAAAAAACTTTTTTTGCAGGCACATTTTTAAAAATTATTACTGTCACGTAAATCATGTAAAATAAAGAATACTATTTATTTTTATTGTTGTTGTTCTATTGTTTGTTTTTGTTTACTTTGATTACCGTATAATAATTACTAGAATAAGCTAGTCGGTGATAAAAACATCAGCATGCGACGTTAGCGATTCCACCTGTGACTTATGACCTATCACTTGTGACCTCTGCTTAATTTAGTGACAATTCTAGTAGAATGCCAGTCGATGATTAAAAGAATAGCACGCGACGTATGAACTATCACCTGTGACTTCGGCGACCCCTAAACACCAGTACCGTGTAGTAATCACACTTACACCTGATAATTCTATAACGATGGCTTCCTATCGAGTATCAAGTGGAAAAAAGAACAAATTCTCTTGCCGAGTTTGTGGTGATGTTATTTTATTTCAAAATTATAAAGTGCATATACAGAGAAATCAACCCGCCGTAGACTACAATGACCTACGGTCAAAAACAGACAAGTCCATTTTGATTTTGCATTAAAATAAATGTTAAGTTTGTCGTTTTGATTTTGCATTAAAATAAATGGTAAATTAGATATTTGTTTTTAATTTAAATACACTGTAAGTGGAATATTGGAAAATAATTTAGGCCTCATCAGAACAACAGTTATTTTAGTTACGGTGCATCAATATCTTGTCATCGTCAAGGGAAACAACTCTTGTTAGTATCCGAATTATACCGGAAGTTAAGTTTAACGAACGACAACCTGGCTGCGCAAAGGGATTTAATGAACTTGTTTGTATCTGGTAGGCATCTATTCTATGTTTATATCAACCCCAAACAACAACAATATGCACATCAAACATAATCTTTATTATTAAAGTAATCTATAATACATTAATACAATTTAGAAACCATAATAAAAAGGTACTAAAAATTATTTATAATTTCTTCTTCTGCCGAGTCCAACCCAAGAAGCCTTCATAAGCCCCCCCCCCACAATCATACTATATAAGTATCCCTGGCAATTGAATACTCCCCTTTTGAGTATGACCCTGCAGGCACATTTTCAACTTTTATAGAGCCCTGGACAGCAACCAAATTCCAACTATCATGTGCATGCCAAGATGAACATGCGACTTTGTTTTTTTGTCCAATCCAAATGACTAGACACTTTCCTTGCCAGGGGAGATCATTCCGGGGGAACTTTCTTGACCAGAATGGAACCCAGTGATTACGTTTCTAGTGTAAGGAAAGATTTGTAATATAAGAATCTTCAATGAAAAAATGGAATTAAACAGTTAGAAGGTTTAATGGATCCATGTGATTTAAAGCGTCGACACATGGATCCAAAATTTTCACAGTCTACAACAGAATACAATACAGAACAGCTGTATTCATCCGCAAAAAAAAATAGTACCTAAAATTCATATACACTAGGCAACATAAATAAAATAAGTTGTTTCTCGGGCACCGCTCGCACGCAAAATTGGTTGCGCGTGCGGCCTATTTATTAGTCTTGATGAAAAATAAAAAATATGTAACGCCCGCCCGAACATCGATAAGCAAGTCATAAAAAAAATATGCCGCATGTATCTACATGCCCCATTCGTGAATATCCATTCAAATGTATTAAACTGATTCAGATGTAAACGCTCATTTACGGGTCTTTTTTATTGATATCGAAAGAACCTCCATTTTTGTATCATGTGATTTTAATTACCTCCCCTTGTGAACTAGAATTTGATTCGTGTTAAACACCGAAAGTCATTGACAACAATGCAATGTATTTCAATCATTCGATCTTAATCGGCTCATTATTGCCGGCTTCAGTCGGTCCATGTTTGAAAAAATCCTACTTATAAAACAATGAATCGTAGAACAGGTTAATTATTATAACTTGTGGCTACGAATACGATACGATGATAGTCACCATACCTTAGTCAGAATCTGGGTCATTAGCACGTTTAACGGTAGTTTTGATAATCCGTTCAATAATAATTGGATTACACATTTGATGGTTTTACTGACGAGTTGTTAGTTAAATTTAAATAGTCATTCGATATAAACCCCAGATAGAACACCGAATATGCTGAGAAACACACCACATTCTAATGGCAAAACAGCTACTTATTTATTTGGGTGAAAAATCAAAGTACTAACCGCATAAAGCTTGTGGCGTATGTATCAAAAATGACCACTCCCAGACATTTTCAGTGGTAGGGTACTCCGGCAAGATGTCCGTAATAAATAGCTGTTTTTCCATAAGAATGTATTATAGTTTATTACTCTATCCAGTTAATATATACCTCTAAAAGATTAAACATACATTATGCAAGCGCTAAATCTGCCTATTGCAGGTCTTTCTTTAGGCCTTAAATGTTATCTAAATTATTAATTAGACATTAATTAACTGATCCAGGCCATAATTAACTCTCGATGTCATCGCTAGCTTGAAATATTTACTGGATTTGAATACATTTTGTGATGGATAATTTAACGTAAAAATGGATAATCGAGACCTTGTTTATTACAGAACCAACGTTAGCAATGATGATTGAGGTTAGCCTAAAATTGAATCGTTAATATCTTCATTAAACATACCTCATGCAAGAGCTAAATCTGTCTATTGCTGGTCTTTCTTTAGACCTGAAATGTTATCTAAATTATTAATTAGATATTAATTAACCTATCCAGACCATAATCAACTCTAGATGGCATCGCTAGCCTGCAATCTTTAGTGGATTATAATCCGATTTACTGCATAACTTTCCTCCATGATTTAATGATTAAATGGATAATCGAGACTATGCTGTTTATCATACTGACTTTAGTAATGAAATTTCAAGCGCTTAGTTCTCGGTTCATAGTGGATCAATTTGACGGATATTTTCAGCAAACTGCCTTTACATTATCTAGTTTTTAACTATTATAGTGAGAACTACCAACTCGTTATCAAATCTCCCATAATGTATCTTTAATATCGTGTTTACATTATCTAGTTTTTAACTATTATAGTGAGAACTGCCAACTCGTTATCAAATCTCCCATAATGTATCTTTAATATCTTGTTTTCATTATCTATTTTTTAACTATTATAGTGAGAACTGTCAGCTCTTTTTCTAATGCTCCTTAAATACTTTAATAACAATTTAATAAACGTACCTGAAAATTAGCGACCATAGATAAACCGAAGGCTGACAGAAGACCACAGATGAGAGTCACTATATTTAGTTTATTAACACCGGATCGATTTCCCACACTTTCTGTTCGTCTTCGTATCACATCCAGGGTTATCAGAAACTTGATAAAAACATTCAACGCCACTAGAAAGAAAATATAATTTTTAATCATTTAATAATTGTAATGCCTAGAGAGAGAGCGAGAGCGAGAGAGAGAGAGAGAGAGAGAGAGAGAGAGAGAGGGGGGGTGTAAATATCAACTGATCACAACCTAGGCTTGCACATAAGGGTCTTTAGCTGCTGGAAATGAAATAAAATGAGCTTTAACGTCCTACTGTTCTGCTCCTAACCTGGGCTAATGAAGACGGGCATACGCCATACAGTGTGCTATGAGGGAAATTTTGCCCAGGCAGCAACACTATCGCCTACTCTTATATTGAATTCAAACTGTCAAGGGATCTTTTACGTGCACGCCAATGTTTACACGGGACCTCGGTTTTTGGTCTCATCTGAAGGACTAGACAGCTGTCCTTGTCAGGCCCTCCGTCCTGCATCACTGACAAGGGGAAACCACGTCGGAAAATCGGGATGAACTTTCTTGGCCAATGCAGGGATCGAACACCCGACCCCCAGGCTAGCGAGCCAGCGCCTCACCCACCTAGCCACCGGATCCTCCAGTTTTCTGGAGAAAACAATACTCCTCGTCACGTACAAACGGGAATTGAAACCATGTCACTTGTCTCAATGACAGACCTTATGATCTAAGGCACACATCTTAAAACATTCGGAGGGTTGATGACCGAATGGTTAGCACGTGCACGCTGTACCATAAAGTCTGTCATTGAGTCAACTGGCATGGTTTCGAATCCCCGGTTGTACGTGGCAAGGAGTAGAGTCGCCTGTCCAACCTCGTGGGTTTTCTCCAGTTTCCTCCCACTGCTAAAGACCCCTACATGTATGTAAAAGATCCCTTCACTGTTGGAATTCGATAAAAGAGTAGGCCAGGTAAAATATCCCTCATAGCACACTGTATGGTGTATGTCTGTCTTCATTAACCCAGTCCGAACAGAACAGTAGGACGTTAAACCCCATTTCATAATGGTATGGAGAGGTCGGGCATATTGGCAGCAAACTAAAGATACAGATACAGTGCCTACAGTTTAATGTAATTCCAATGCCGCTAGTTTAATGGCGGACAGATTCGTCTGGCTAATGTTAAATTTAATTTTTACTTACTCATAACTGAAGCCATGTTGATAAGCTGTGAAAATAGTCCACGTTCTGGTGGATATATTGCTGTATAGCTAAAATATCAATTATTAACAATAACATTAGTGAAATACACGACTGTATAGCTAAAATATCAATTATTAACAATATCATTTTTAATCAAATACATGGCTGTATAACTAAAATATCAATTATTAACAATATCATTTTTAATCAAATATGCAGCTGTATAGCTAAAATATCAAAGATTAACAATAACATTAGTCTCGTACACAGCTGTATAATTAAAATATAATGCTCTGCTGACGACTATGTATACAACTCTATAACACCAATCATGAGATAATGTGGATTCTATACGCGTGCAATATTCTGTACCGGCCGTCACATGGCCGACGTTGATTGTAACCATGTTTAAATACTGATTCGGCGTGTCGTGGCTGTCTCCATTGTCTACAATACATGTAACAGAAATTCTGGAATGTTTTGAATGCGATGTATGAAAATATCAGACAACATCATTATTTCTCTCAGACAAAGATTAATAAAATAGGTTGTCAGGCAACGAAACATACGCCCACAGCAGCTAAGTTGTCCGGGGAGTCAACAAGAGTTGTCGCATATTTTTTCTTTAGTCAGAAATGAACCATTTACAACACACTAAAATATGATTAAGAGTATCAACCCATTTGGCTTCTAGTTCGGCCCTATTCTAACATTTAGCATACAAAAACATTATATATCAATTGCTATAATCATTGGAAATCATTGAAAATCAATAGTCTTCTTCGTCTCATGACCTTAAACACTTTGTATAAATTTAAAGTCAATCAGATATTAACTTGAGCCTCCAGAGCATCCACAAGATTTTTCAGAGTGATCAAGGGCCATAACTCTGGTAGTAATTATTAGATATCTTTGAAAATCAATAGGCTTCTTTGTCTCTTGATGTCAAACACTGTGTATCAATTTAAAGTCACTAGGATATTAACTTTCGCCTCTAGAGTATCCACAAGATTTTTCAAAGTGATCAAGGGCCATAACTCTGGCAGTAATTATCAGAAATTTTTGAAAACCAATAGGCTTCTTTGCCTCATGACCTTAAACACTATGTATAAATTTAATGTCAATCGGATATTAACTTTAGCCTGTAGAAGGCCCATTACCGCCGGCCATACAGACGGGGACAGCAACAATATACGACCACATTATAAAATTTGATTTGAGATCAGGAAATGGCCCTTTTTTAAATTAGGATGACCTTTCAAATTGCAGGTTCATACAGAATTTTGAAGGAAAATTACAGAAATCAAATTTAATATAAAATAATTTACCTGATGTAGGGGAAGTTTGGTTCCACATGTTTGTAACTTACAGCTACACCATACCTGAACAGAGAAAAACAGGTGTTAATATACACAGGTAGACAACACAACACACAATAACATGTGTTGATATTTACAGGATGACAACACAATATTTATACAATACGGGGCCCTTATTCACGAAAACTTAACTGAGATAAAATCCAAATTTTAGTAATTTGATTGGATAATATTAGATTGATTTTAGTGCTTAGCCAATCAAAATTGAGGTATCTTCTAAAATTTGGATTTTATCTTAAGTTAAAATTTCGTGAATCAGGGCCCAGGGGGGTAAATAAAATGAAATCAAAAGGGGTTGAGTGACCTAATGTTGTGCTCTAACTGGATTAATTGAAGACGAGCAAACAGTGTGCTAAGGAGGCGAAATTGCATACTCTTATATCAAAATTCAAACTGCCAAGGGATCTTTCGTGAGCACACCAATGGATACTCAGGAAATTGATTTTTCGTACCATCCGAACAACTAAACAACCGTCTATGTCAGGCATGTAGACCTGTATCACTGAAAAAAAAAAAACGATCCGAGGCCTCCAGGCTAGCGAACCAGCATTTTACTCACTGAGCCAATGTGGCGCCCTCAAATACAATCTAGATAGACATAAAAAAACACACAAGCATATGGCACATCTAAAGTAGTACAGATACTATTTGGTATTATGGGGTTTCAGTTTTACCAGTAAATAGCAGAACATTGAATTAAGCAGGTTCTGTATAGTAGTTTGGTAATGACACATGGATGAATGACAATGTCTAGTACTTCGTATGGTATGAAAAAACAAGGTTCTATGTACATGTTGTCATGCACATAAAAAGTCTTCCTTTAAAGTTGGAATTTGCTGAATAGTAATTGAAATTGCTAGGAGAGAGAGAGAGGGAGAGAGAGAGAGAGAGAGAGAGAGAGAGATGGGGTTTAACTTCCACTTGACACAAACTAGGTCATTTCGGGAATAACATGTGGTTCCATTTTATTTCAATAATTAGCTTGTGTGTAGGGGTCTTTAGGAGTGGGAGGAAACCGGAGGGCCCGGGGAAAACCTACGAGGTTGGACAATTGATCCTACTCCTTGTCACATACAACAGGGGAATCGAAACCATGGCAGCTGACTCAATGACAGACCTTATGATACAACGCGAACGTGCTAACCATTCGGTCATAGAACTCCCCAAATTGCTAAGCAAAATGTCTCACTGAGCCACTGCAGCTCCCCTTAAAACGATAAGAAGAGTGATAGTATATCGAAGGTAACGGTTAATACAGGTATATAGAAGGTAACGGTAAATACAGGTAAACTAACGATAAGAAGAGAGATAGTATATAGAAGGTAACGGTAAATATAGGTAAACTTATGATAAGAAGAGTGACAGTATAAAGAAGGTAGCGGTAAATACAGGTATATAGAAGGTAACGGTAAATACAGGTAAATGATTGAAATCAACTTACGATAAGAAGAGTGATAGTATAAAGAAGATAACGGTGAATACAGGTAAAAAATGTAGATGATCGTTAACCCAATGTATACAGCGATTTGTCCGGGATGCTCTTACTTCTCCAACATTGCCATTCGCCTGAAATATAAAAATAAATATTAGATAAATTTTATACTCTTGTCTGGGTCCTACAAGTAGGGGCATATATGTTTCCAAAATGAACCTTATATACCACTGCTTTTAAGAAAGAGAGGTCATTTTGGAACTTATATATGGTTTTAATTTGTTTCAATCATTTGCTTGCGCATGGGGTCTTTAGCAGTAGGGAGAGAAAGAGAAATGGGGTTTAACGTCCACTCGACACAAACTAGGTCATTTCGGGACTAACATATGGTTTAATTTTATTTCAATAATTCGCTTGCGCGTAGGGGTCTTTAGCAGTGGGAGGAAACCAGAGGGCCCGGAGAAAACCCACGAGGTTGGACAGGCAACCCTACTCCTTGTCACGTACAACCGGGGATTCGAAACCACACCAGTCGACTCAATGACAGACTTTATGATACAGCGCGCGCACGCTAACCATTCAAACATCCAACCCCCCCTTTAGCAGTAGGAGGAAACCAGAGGAACCAGAGAAAACCTGTGAGGTTGGAAAGGCGACCCTATTCATTGTTGCGTACAAGCTGAGAATCAAAAATAAATGAAAATGAAATGAAATGAAATGGAGTTTAACGTCCTACTGTTCTGCTCCTAACCTGGGCTAATGAAGACGGGCATACGCCATACAGTGTGCTATGAGGGAAATTTTGCCCGGACAGCGGCACTATGGCCTACTCTTATATCGAATTCCAACTGCCAAGGGATCTTTTACGTGCACGCCAATGTGTACACGGGACCTCGGTTTTTTGTCCCATCCGAACGACTAGACAGCTTTCCTTGTCAGCCCCTCCGTCCTGCATCACTGACAAGGGAGAACCACGCCGGAAAATCTGGATGAACTTTCTCGGCCAATGCAGGGATCGAACACCCGACCTCCAGGCTAGCGAGCTAGCGTCTTACCCACTTAGCCACGTGATCCCCCGAATCAAAAATATGTTATACCTTAAACCCAATATGATTAGAATACAGATCTATGTTTCACTTGGTTTTTATACTTTCGATGGTCTCTACTACATGAAGATCTGACCAGTTGTAGTGGGAGGTCGCATCAGGGTTCATACGAGCGGGTTTTGACCCTATGACGTCAGACAATGATTAATCAATTAGCGTTGACGTTTCTAGTGGTTTACCCACAGTTCCCTGCGCTGCGCAGCACACCAAAAACTCGCCGTAACAGGCCTTTTCATTGGCTATTTCCTCATACCAACCAGAGAGCCTGTTACATAACAACTCTTCCAGATCCTAGCGTAGTAAAGACAAGTAAAACGAAATTTTGAAGTATACGAAACGAAATGGGATCTGTGTTTTTATCAGATTGGGGAGAAAAGAAAATGATATGACATGAAATGAGGTTTATTCCAACTGTTGTCCACCGAGTGGGCTAATACCGATGGGCATTACCTATACAGCTTGCTATGAGGACAATTTGGCACTATGGCCTAATCTCAAATTGAATTATAACTCTTGAGGTATCTTTTACGCGCATGCCAATGTGTACACAGACCCTCGGTTTTTCGTACCACCCAAACGACTAGTCCAGCACCACTGACGAGAGGAAACCACACCGGAAAATCCTGAAGAACTTTCTCGGCCTTACTCACTGTGGCTCCCACAACAAAAAGAACGAACAGATGGATCCCACTTCAAAATCCTTAATGTCATAAAAAAAAAAGCAAACAAGTTGATGAAATTTGATGCCTAATTCAACTATTTACCTTCATTAAGACCATTTTAACAAATTCTAACTTCATTTTGATTGTTTCCAACACAGACATATGATGTGCTACAACTTCTCCGTTTAAGTTAAGATATTCAACACATGTTTGTGTTTCACTATTGTCACCTCGATCAGCACTAATGTTATCTCTAAAGATAATCTCTAATCTAAATCACATATCTCATAAATTTTTCTTTTATGAATTCCAATATTATCTATTACATATATAGATAAACCATTTTTATAATTCAACACCAAAATCAAATGCAGAGATGACAAAAAATATTTAAATGCACTATGACACACCAGATTTTTTTTCAAATTAGAATCAATTTATTTTTGTAATTTTAGCATACATTAAATCACAGTTTTATCACAATTATCTCTTTCTTCTGTGTCAAAACCTTCACTTTTAACCATTGGCACATTAATATTTTAATTCTAATCCAGTGAACACACACAAGACAACACCAGAACAGCAGTGAACACACAAAATACCAGCACAAGAACAGCAGTTAACACACAAAAATCAGCACAAGAACAGCAGTGAACACAATAAAAATCAGAACAGCAATGAACACACAAGAAATCCACAAGCACAGCAGTGAAAACACAGAAAAACAACACAAGAACAGCAGTGAACACACAAAAATCTGAACAAGAACAGCAGTGAACACAATAAAAATCAGAACTGCAGTGAACACAAGAAAACACGACAAGAACAGCAGTGAACCCACAAAAACTGAAAATGGCTTATCTATGTTTTGCTGAACATATTACAAATATTTATATTCTAATCCTGTGAACACAACAAGCCATTCGAAAAGAACAACTTTAAAACTTAATATATGTATTGCTGAGTCAACAAAAAAGTAAAAATGTCACAATTTAAAACGTTTTTCTCAAGGTAAAATCTAACTACAGAAATCTGATACAATACTTTGTGACAGAGCTCGAAACAAAAAATGAAACATTTCTAAGGGTGAATTTGGTTAAATAATCTCTAAAAATAAGACGGAACTCTGTCGGAAGGATATATAATAAAGTTGTTGAATATAATGGCTACCATACATCCCATGGGTCATTCTCTCATAGACTTTACAACATTTCATTGAAGTCACCAACACAAAACTTGACCCAGTTTACCATTTTGGCTTCAATTACAAGAGCTTATTTTTATTAGAGAGAGAATTTATATAAATGATCTGCACATGTCTGTTGTTTTACCTATATATGTATTTAATAACCTTTATATACTAACCAAATGAAATGGAGTTTTAACGTCTTACTGTTCTGTCCGTTGTTTAACCTTTAAATACTAACGAAATGAAATGAAATGGGGTTTAACGTCCTACAGTTCTGCTCCCAAACTGGGCTAATGGAGACGGACATATACAGTGTGCTATGCCAAGGGATCTTTTACGTGCACGCCAATGTGTACACGGGACCTCGTTTTTTTCGTCCCATCCGAACGACTAGACAGCTGTCCTTGTCAGGCCCTCCGTCCTGCACCACTGACAAGGGGAAACCACGCCGGAAAATCTGGATGAGAGAGAGAGAAATGGGGTTTAACGTCCACGCATTTCGGGACTAACATATGGTTTAATTTTATTTCAATAATTCGCTTGCGCGTAGGGATCTTTAGCAGTGGGAGGAAACCGGAGGACCTGGAGAAAACCCACAAGGTTGGACAGGCGACCCTACTCCTTGCCACGTACAACCGGGAATTCGAAACCACGCCAGTTGACTCAATGACAGACTTTATGATACAGCGCGCGCACGCTAACCATTCAGCCACCCAACCCCCCAAATCTGGATGAACTTTTTCGGCCACTGCAGGGATCGAACACCCGACCTCCAGGATAGCGAGCCAGCGTCTTACTCACTTAGCCACATGATCCCCTATATATGTATTTAATAAAGAGAGAGACAGAAAGCAATGGGGTTTAACGTCCACTCGACACATACTAGGTCATTTCGGGACTAACATATGGTTTAATTTTATTTCAATAATTCGCTTGTGCGTAGGGGTCTTTAGCAGTGGGAGGAAACCGGAGGACCCGTAGAAAACCCACGAGGTTGGACAGTCGACCCTAATCCTTGTCATGTACAACCGGGGAATCAAAACCACGCCAGTTGACTCAATAACAGGCCTTATGATATAGCGCGCACGTGCTAACCATTCGGCCATTCAACCCCCCATGTATTTAATAACCTTTATCTGTCTATTGCAGGTCTTTCTTTAGGCCTAAAACGTTATCTAAATTATTAATTAGACATTAATTAACTTATCCAGACATTAATTAGACATTAATCAACTTTAGATGGCATCGCTAGCCTGCAATCTTAAGTGGATTGTGGTCCGATTTACTGCATAACTTGCCTTCTCGATTAAACGATTAAATGGATAATCGAGACTATGCTGTTTAACGTACTGACTTTAGTAATGATGACCGAGGCTAGGCAGAAATTTCATTCGCTTAGTTCTGGGTTCACAGTGGATCAATTTGAATGATATTTTCCGCAAATTGCCTTTACCTTATCTAGTTTTTAACTATTATAGTGAGAACTGCCAACTCGTTATCGAATCTCCCATAAATACTAATGAAATGAAATTGGGTTTAATATCCTACTTTTCTGCTCATATAGTGGGCTAATGAAGATGGGCTTACGCCATACAATGTGCTATGAGAGAAATTTTGCCTGGACAGCAGCGATGTGACCTATGACCTATGACCTATGCATATTTCAAACTGTCAAAGGTTCCTTTACGTTCCATCCGAACAACTATATCCTGAATCAGTGAAGGTTTGATTTAATTTGGGGGGTTGGATGCCTGAATGGTTAGCATGCGTGCGCTGTATCATAAAGTCTGTCATTGAGTCAAGTGGCGTGGTTTCGATTCCCCGGTTGTATGTGACAAGGAGTAGGGTCGCCTGTCCAACCTCGTGGGTTATCTCCGGGTCCTCCGGTTTCTTCCCACTGCTAAAGACCCCTACACGCAAGCGAATTATGTAAATAAAATTAAACCATATGTTAGTCCCGAAATGACCTAGTTTGTGTCGAGTGGATGTTAAACCCCATTTCTCTCTTTCTCTCTTGATTTAATTTAACATCACTGTTTTAGATCAGTGGTTCTTGACCTTTTTATGTGCTCGTACCCCTTGAGCTTTCATAATATTTCCCCGTACCTCTGTCTAAAATTACTTACGCAATTAAAATGGAATTATAATAATTGATATGAAATACAGTATAATAGTAA